TAGCTTTCTTATGTCTTACCTTCTGTTGGGACGGCACTGGAAACTGGCGAAAAAAATTTCTTTGGCCCTTCTCCCCTTTTTTTTCCTTGCCCCCCTCCCCAACAAACTGAAAAAAAAAAAAAAAAAGCCACATCAAGTTTACTTTCTGAAGGGGTCATCAAAAAATACTTGCTCTGCCAGAAGGAACCAGATAGAGAACTATCAATGCTACAAACACAAGAACTAGGTGAACTGGACCAAACAACAAAGGAATATGACAAGCATCACGTTCAGATCCTGCTCCTTGACATTTTCAGGATTGTTGCTTTCATTCTTTATATGGCTTTTCCTCTGCTGTGGCATGGGCGTGAATGTAAAGCTACATTCCTTCCTCTTCCATAACTCTCTGGCTGCCATAGCAAAGCTATAAACAAAAGAGGAGCTAGCTAACTAAGAAGCAAGCAAGTACCTTAAAAATGTATGTACTGCTTGCCTGTACAGCTCTGTACTGCTTCTTTATCACGCCTGAGGGCTCAGCTTACGAATCATGAGATAATACAAATAAAACAGAGTACTGAAGGAACCATCAGTTTTACCTTATGGACTATCTTCTGTTTATTCTTGCAATAAACCCACTTAGGTATGGACTGCAAAGTAAAGACTCGTTTCCAGTACCCCTTTTGCAGGTCTCTAAGAGCACAGGCAATGTCCCTCACTTCCCTTACTGGAGTTGGGAGAAGGGAGAATAAAGAAGCAAAAGCCACATTACAGCAGTGACTGCAGCATCAGCAAAGCCTTGCTGCATCAGGATTCAACTACAAACAAGACACTGGCAACCTTTGGTTTTGCTACAAATTGGCAGTGTGAAATTATACAGTACACAAAACTACTTGTGCTATTACTGATGTAGATTGTACTTAGAAGCAAGACTGATCAGTGTCCAGTTAACAACACGCTACCTTACAAATACCAGCATTCCAGGCAGTGACAGTTAAATCACAAGGTCTCAGCTGTTAGTTGGTTCTCGCTTGAGTAAGAAGTCTTCCCTAGCTGCCAGCTTTCATCACTCTCTGAACTTGGACCAAGCATATTCATCTACTACTCATTTTTACTAAACAAAGACAATTGTGTAGTAAGTTAGGCAGAGACAAGGGCAGAACTCAGCAGCAGACAGATTCTCGGCAAAACAACTCTTACTTCCAAGAAGGCAGCGTAGAAGACACATGAAATGTTACATCACCTTAGCCATCACATACCTCATCATCGTTGACAGCATAGATATTTACTTCCTCCTCCTCCTCCTCTTCACCTCTTGCAAGTCGTGCTTCTCTCTCCATTTTCCATTTTTCCACTGCTTCTGCTATAACTGGTTAGCAAAGGAAAATGGGAAGTGTATCTGAGAGCAAGTTAAAGCAGCTGAAGCCCCAGTTTCCTTGACAGCAGTTCTGCAGCAACTGAAGTTAGAGCTCCCTTGATTTGTCTCCTTTTCCAAAGCTTTTCCAACAGACTTAAACTTCTTGCTTAAATCCTCTACATCGGTACCACACACTTCCTGTAGAACCTTGATGTAGTATCTAATAAAACAGATCAATGTAGTCTGAGCAAAACTCAGTGCTAGCATTGTGAAAGTGGTACTTGCTAATGCCTTAATTTGGGTACATTTTAGATTCTAAATGTCATGGATAACTATCAACCTACTTTCTGAACTGAGTAACAGGGGACCACATGACCAGGCTAAGTGACTCTTAGAGCTCTGTAGCATGCCAACAGCTATAGGAATGTTAATCACCATGTAATTAAACATGATTATGCTCCTTAGAGTGACCACACATTAAGTCTCTCTCTTTTCATCTTGTAGTGTATTTCTCTTGTTTTGTAGCACGATTCCAATTCTGTAACTCACTGCTAGCTAGGAGCTGTTAGTCTGCTGTATCTATACTAGACAGCAGAGTGCTAGTAAGAGCGCTAAAGCAAGTTTTGAGAAGCTTAATCAGTGACATCACCAGTACATAAAAATCCTAGGGAGCTGCAAAATTAATGCAACTAGGCAATATGAAATGCCTACAACTATGGAAGCCAGCAGCCATTCTCCCTAGCTCTCAAAGATTAAACATTAAAATACTCTCCCTGAGAAAGCAAAATCTAACTAATTAGTGGCACACAGCTGCATTTTTATGTGGTTTCATAAGAGAAAAGGTGCCCCAAACTAATACATTTTTTCAATACTTTGCTTGACAACAATTTAACTCTTCTGCTAACAAGGCAAAAACTAGAAGAGCCTAGACAACAAGTGACCCTAAGAGAATCTTAGCTATTTTGCATTAATAGTACACTTATTGGTTCTGTTAGCATCTCTAGCGTTGTTATTTCAAGTGGCACCAAAGACGATAATTTTCTTAAATAACCATATGAATCCAGATGAGCTACCTCTCCTGTCTGCAATTAACATGGTGCAAGATGAACAAAAAGTGGGATGCCCTTCTGGGAGCGCTGCACCACACAACTTCCCTTCTTACGCTATCATTTGTCTGCCAGCCAGCTACTGTTCACTTGGTTTAAGGCTCTAAGCTATGCTGCAGAACACAGGTAAGTGAAATATTTCCCTTATTCCCCTCTTCCTCCTTGTCCTATAATCTAACCAAGAAGGCATGATCTCTAACACACAATACTATGAAGGACTCACACATGGAGAAGGGATAAATATAAGTGGATGTCCACACCAAGAGATACTAAGTATTGGTAACAGTTACAAGCTCAACAACTTATAACCATTTAACAAGTCACTTCCTGAAGTTTCGGTTCAAGATTTTCTAATTCCATAGAGATAATGGTATACAAAAAGAAGCATCATTCAGGCAAAAACTGACTGTTTTATCTGCTGTGTTCTGTGGAAAAACCTGCCAAGGGTTCCTATACCAGGACATTTCCTACAGAGCATTGAGGATCTGCCTGCAGTTGAAGCTTCAGAAGAAATTATAAAACAAACACACAATGCAAACAGCAACAAATTCCCAGGATCAAACAATGCTCACCAGAAGCACTGAAAGAACTACTTAGAAAACAGCTAAGCTCTTAAAGATGGTGAGTGGCCTCTTGCTTAAAGCTACACAAATATCAGAAGATGGCACACAGTGCTGAATTTTAAAGAGGGTTTCAGGAATTAGACGCATAATCCTGATGTCTTTACCAGACAAGTCAGTAGAAACAAAACCAGAGAACTAAGTGTGCAGACACATGGATAAATATTATCTATTGAGAAAGTATGGGTTTCAATGGAAAAAAGATTCACAAACATGTTGAAGTTCCAAGATAGATGACACATGGATAAATTAATAGGCCACTTAGGCCACTTAGACCTCCGGGTTTCTAGAAGGTCCTCTCTAATCTCCAAAGAAACTAAACAGCTATGTTTATGGATAAATAATTAGGTGAGACAGGAAACAGATGGTATGGTCAGTTTTCACAAAGGAGGAAATAACCACTTGAGTTCCATAGATCTCCCTGCTGCAACCTACGCTTGCATTCTTAAGCATGAAAAGGTGGGGGGGGGGAAGGAGATTTGACTTCAATAGTGAACCACTTGCTGACAATATTAAGTCATTAACAGTAGCAAAGATGAAAGTGAACTCTAAAGCACACTCGCTCACCCCTGAAATGCCTTACACAACAGTGATTTGGATACCTATGTGACAGATGAAATCTGACAGCTAAGCACAAGACAACACTCGCGGGGGCGGGAGATAGGGAGATAACTTCAGAGTCCATCATCACCCCTTCTTGGACTGATTTATGCAGGCTTTGAATCTCACATACCTTTCCTTTCGTGTTCTTGTTCCAGTGGCTCCAGAATACCATCATCTTCATCCCTGTAACCATAGTATTCTGCATCAATGGCTTTCATAAGCTCAGCTCGAGTTTTCCGAGGTGGTGGGAGGGCTGAAAGAACACACGACTGTCATTCATCCAGGTCCATCTTGATAGCTTGCTATGCATTCCCGGTCCCTGTCAACCTCACAGTAACTACAGCTACCTCACTTAAGCTAATAGCCAATGCATGATCTGAACTGCTGTCAAAATCGGGAGCACTGGTGTTTTATACTCTGGCCTGCACAAAACAGTTAGAATACATGACCCGATGGTTCATATTGCACAGTTCCCACCCTGTGGCAATTCTACACTGTCATGCATGCAGTTGTTTTTCCTCCTATACTGGAGTCCCAGTACTGAGCAAGACTACTGTATGAAAGGAAGTAAAAAACTGTCCCAAGCTCCCCCAGATCATGTAGTACTTCCCATAATTTTTCTTTGCAGATGGCAAGTTAAAAAGAGGTGATTCAGTAGGCCTGCCTCACCTTCAGGTCTGAGTAATTCCCACTCATTCCATGACAAATCAATATATAAAGTTCTATCCACTTAGATCTAGTTTTTCCTATTTTGAAAGCTGATTCCTGCTTCTAAAATTATGTTCAAGCCAACTTCCTTTTTTTTTTTTTTTTTTTTTTTTTTTTTTTTTTAATTCTGAACTCAGAGTACTATTTAAAACTTATCAATAAAGTTAACCTGTTACGCTGGAAAGTTTCTATAGAACATCAGTCCTTACCATTTGGAACTCCCAGTAGAAAACAGACTTTACTCTTTTCTACATTTCTTTAATTGCAAACAGCCAAAGATGTTCTTTGCCCAAAGAAATAGCATTTAATTAAATACCTGTGTTCAGCATTTCATTTAGCTGATCTAAGACATAGGCCAGAATACGCTGTTACTAGCATTCCCCACACAGTACAGCAGACATTTTACTCAAGATATACTACTATGTAGATTCATGTCTGGGCAGAGTTGCTATTTACTTACGTTCCTTTTCAAAAAGTTCTCTAACTCCCGGTAAATCCTTTGCAGCTCCAAAATATTTGTAACCTCTGTTCCCTGGAACTTCTTTTCCTTCATGATCTAACATTTTTGGTCCAATCCGCTGGAAAATAAACAGAGTTCATTGTTTAAAATTTTATTCCTCTTGCATCTTCCATCTCCTGTTTTCCTAGGCATCTTAATTAAGATTAAAGGATTGAGAAAGGAGATGTGCTATACCAGTTCAAAGTACTCCACAAGTAAGATGCCCTCATAGATTATTTTTATACAGGTTCTCTACTTTTACTACAAATCACACATTTAAAATGACTACGCAAACCACAGAGCACCAATACCAGATTAACTTTCACAAAATATCTCAACCTGTCTTATTTTCTGTACTAGTATATTCAGGTATCAGATAAAAAAGCACTACTAAATCTGACAACAAGCATACTTTTGATGTTTTGGCAAGTGAGGGCTTGTGTCATTATTTCATTTTCAGCAGTAACTAGGCGAGCCAAGCTTCTACAGACTGATAGAGTACAATATAGAAAAAACACCTACTGATGGGTAAAATAAGCCCATTGCTGCAAACTCTTAACAGGAAGGCAAGACCCCTTGAACCAGTGTTCCAAATGAAAAGTCTGATTTGCTCATCATGGAATCAAATATTTCTTCTAACATAACCTAACATTTTTAGGGGCTGAATAAAGTTCCTCTCTAATAAATGTTGGCCAAGTAACACGTGGTTAACTAAACGTTGCACAGATTTCTCTCATTAGTCACTTTACTTGTAAGCAGAACCACCATGTAGTACAAAATAATCTACACTTACAGCATAATCAGGACCTCCTAGCTCCTTTATTCTGAATTCCCAGTGTCCTTTCTCCCTCAGAAGTTTGTTTATTTCATCATTCAGGTCCCGAATTCTGAATTCACCTAATCCAGCTGTTAGAGGAGAGAACGCAGTAAATTAGGCAGCTTACTAGAAGCAACAGAATAATTTCAGAATTTATACAATGGAAACAGTATAGTTCACATTAAATGTGATTGTTACTATAACTGCTTAGGACTAGAGAATAAAAAAAAAAACAAAAACGTAATTCAGAAAATCTTACCATTTTGAATCTGTGCCACTTTCTTGGAAATTTCCCCAATGATCTAGTTAAATAAGAACACAGAAGTGAATTTCTCAAAAATAAAAAAAAAGGCTAGAAAAGGTTAAAAACAACTCTAGAAAGATCCAAGATCCAACTTCTAAGTTGGCTTTTTGATCTAGAAAATGGACCTGAGCCTATCAATTTCAAATATCAACATAGATTTTATTCAGACACAAATATAGTATCTCAGAAGCTTAAAAAACACAGAAACATTTTTACAGCTGTACATATGGTGAGGGCAGGAGCACAGAGAAAGGCTGAGAGAGAATTGTGTTTGATCTGCCTTAAGAGAAGGCAGATCCCCTTATTAAAGGGGAATAACCCCTTATTAAAAGGAATAACCTATTGCTGTCTTCAGCTACCTGGTGGAGGATATAGAGAAGACAGAACCAGACATGGTGAGAGGTGCATAACAATAGGGCAAGTACCAACAAACACAAGTTGGAATGGGGGAAATTCTGATTAAATTCAAGGGGGGAAAAAAATCATTAAGAAGTTAATCACACACTGGAACAGGGGCCCCAAAAAGTTGTGGAATTCAAATCCCTGGAGATACTCAAAACTCAGATGGGTGTGGCCCCGAGCAACTTGATGTGGTAGGACCTACTCTGAACACCGTGGTGAACTATATGATCTTCCAGTCTAAATTATTCTGTGATTTAACTGTCAGCATACTGAAGAAGTCTGAAAAAGGTTTGTTAGCAGATTGTCTATATAGGAAGTGCTAAAGTTCTACCTACTATAGAATTGGAAAAATCTATAGCTTGACACTACCTGTCGCCTCCATTTCTCAGCTTTAGGCAATTCATTACACTCTGATGCAAGGAAAGGTCTTCGTTCCTGTTTGACAGAAAGCCACACATCATGAGGTGTTAACCAAGCATCAATATATTCACAGCATTTCATGCAAACTTTATTGCTTGATTAATCCCAAACTATGTTACCAAGCTCCAGTGCCTTCTGCTCCCACCAACTTTTATTAAGTGGAAAACAATGACGTTTTACAGCCCTGCCAAATTAAAGTATCACAGAATATAACAATCTACTTAAATGCACTTTATTAAAAAAAAAATCTGTCACCTGTTCTTTCAAATCACCCCATAATCCTCTCCAATACAAATAATGTTCCATTTAGGACAGCTGAATTACAAAATTTTCAATATACTAGAATGTAAATAAAATCTGCTGTTTTCCAAGTAGCTTGGAAAAGTTTTGGCCTTTCTTTCTCAGCTCCTGCTACCTAAATACCATAATTTTTTTCCAAGATGGTTTTGTTTTGTACTCTCCCAACTACGTCTTATGCAAAACACCTTTTTCCCAACCTTCTTCACATTCCATTGACTTGCTTACACAAACTAATACTTCATCTTATGTCTAGGACTCTGTGTACAGTTAAAAACTGGCTGGACGGCCGAGCCCAGAGAGTGGTGGTGAATGGAGTCAAATCCAGTTGGCAGCCAG